CTCTCTCTCTCTCTCTTGCTTGCCTGACATCGTTTAAGTGAATCGGTCTGTCTTGGCACACGAAAAGACATGTGCAGAGATGCAACACATGGTGACGTATGACATAGATAGCGATTCATAGGTAGAACCTAGCATAGAAACGATGGCTGGGCATGCTCAGATCGATGATGGGTAGCATCGCACAAGTTCCAGTTCAACTTGGAATTGCATCACCCTGATCAACTCAGCATTGTCAATGGCTCTGCTGCACTGGCCAGTGCTGCAAACTGAGGGACTTGAGTTCAGCTACAGCTGACATGAGCACCGAGGCGAAAACGAAATAAGTGAACTGACGATTGATGCTCCTCTTTCTGCAACCACTGTTGCTAGTGCTGCTAGTGTTCTGTGCCACCAAAAGGAGACACACTCACTGCTTGCGCTGAGGACGGTGAATCACGCTGCAGAAAACTCCCTAAGCAACCCTACAGAAGCACCAGTAAGGTCAGCATCATCGGCATCATGTCACCCCCGTTTCTCGGGAGGCCCAAAGCCCGCTCGTAAGAAGCTTTCATGATTAACAGCCCCGAGCGCCTGCTGGAAACGCCTCATCGTGTGCCCAGTGGAGGACGAGCAGGAAGCTGTTTTTGCGTCGCTCGATTTCCTTGGCCTCCTCATTGAGGCTCCTGTCATGGATGGAGGTGGTGGGCTGGGTATGGCTGGGTCTACGATCCAAAAGTCCTGCCCGGGCATGGCAGCACAGGACAACCCTACCAGACCGCGCCTCCACTCGTTCTGGCTGCGCTTCAGCGCTCTCTGCGCAGCCTGCGTGGCTTCGACGGGATCTGCTTCTTCATCCAACGGCAGGTGCCGCAGCAGCAGGTGGAACCTCAATAGCAGGTCGGGCCTTTGCCCATCTGCGCCGAATGCAAACATGGCTTGCATCAGGACTCGGCAGAACTCGCTACCGGAATCGTCTGAATCGATGGCAGGTTACAGCCCCACGTCGTAGCGGGCAGAGGCACGCAGTTCCTGAAGAATGCACTGTAGCAGCGCCTTGCGAGTGAAGATGGGTTCCTTGGCCGCCATGAAGAGAAAAGCTGGGGCAAGACGTCGGACGTACAACAGCTTCGGTGTCAAAATCTCTTGAGCTGCAGCGGACTGGGCAAGACTGCAGGGGCCTGTTCATCCCGACTCATTCTCATGCTGACCAGTTTCAAGCAACTCTGCACGGTGGCCGAAGAGAGCTGCGTTCGACAAGACATCCTGAAAGGATCAGCATCGGGGTTGCACCGTCGAGGTTAGGGACGAGTTACATCACTGGACATCAAACCCGACATGCGGCGTGCTAAAAGCCGCAAGGCTCCTTCAAGCCTCGAACGGTGAAGCCTTGGTTGAGGAGCCTCGGATTGATCGCGGCAAGGATGGCCACGTGTTTGTGCATAGATGTGAGCGTGTGCGCGTGTGTGTGTGTGTGTGTGGGAGGGTGGGTGGGTGGGTGGGT